ACTGGAAGGAAAAAGAAAAGAAAAGAAAAATACCTCCAATATTTCTCTATCCATGTGTGTACAGATATATCTCCCCCATGAATATATAGTGGTAATAGGAACTGCAAAGAGTGCTGCATTGCTGATCATTAATGATGGCATAGATATTCATGCTTGCTGCACAGTCTAGCGTAAGAGCAACCGAGATGTGCTGCATACCATTTGCTAGGTTCACTCTGAGTGCTTTAAGACCCAGTATCCCTGCAACAAGAGCAATACTAGAAAATAAGAAATGTGGACTCTATGAATCCACTTCACACTCAGAACTACAGAGCAGCACAACTTCTCTTGTGTGTGTGTGTATTGTATGCTTTCAAGTTGTTTCTGACTCACGGCATTTTTCATGGCAAGATTTGTTTAGGTGAGGTTTGCCCTTGCCATCTCCTCAGGCTGAAACTATATGACTTACCCAGGGTTATCTAGTGGGTTTCATGGGTGAGCAGGAATCAAACCCTGGTCTCGAGAGTTTTAGTCCAGCATTCAAACCACTGTGCCATACTGGATCTCACAGCTTCTCATGCCAGTTATTTATTTGGTCAGTATTCTTGATTAATTTCCCCAAAAACCCATTCATTTCTCCAACAAAACTATTCTCCCTCTCATTCATGATGAGCAGATAGGACACCACACTCCTGTCACTATGGCTATAGTGGCTCAAATCTGATTGTCATAAACCTTTTCCCATTGTGGTGGAGAAGAGTCCACAAGAAGTGTAAACATATGTATTTTTGTTGCACAAAGGTCCCTGTGTTATTTTTCTTCTTTTCCTGTTAATGTTCTAGTAGACCCAAGATTCACTGGGTTGAACCTTGGGAACTTTTCAATTAGCAAGAATCATGATGTCATCTGCCATCCCTTGTTTCTTCCAAACTTACCTAAAATCCTCCTAGTGACAGAGGTTGGGAAGGGAAGGGATTTTAAAGAGTAACAATATAGGGTGTAGTGCAAAGTATTTGGGGACATCTTGGTTGATCTTGAACAGGAAAGTAAGAACCAGTCACTTTACAAAAGGCATAAATAGAACTCAGGCAAACAAACTAGCAGATAGATAAATATGGATCAATATAACTGCCTGCATTGTGGCCCAGTTTGGGGGTCTCCATTTCAAAATGTAGCACTATACAGGTTGAGTCTTATTGTTGTTTATATGCCTTGAAGTAATCTCCAATTTATGGCAACGGTTTCCTTGGCAAGTTTCTTCAAAGGGAGTTTGCCATTGCCATCCTCTGAGGCTGAGAGAGTGGGACTTGCCCAAGGTCATCCAGTGGCCAAGTGGGGATTGGAACCCTTGCCTCCAGAGTCTTGGTCCAATGTTCAAACCACTCCACTCCACTGGCTCTCATACATTCTCCCTTATCCAAAATGCTTCAGATCAGTGTTTTGTATTGTGGAGTTTTTCAGATTTTGGATATCTGCATATACATATTGAAATATCTTGGAGATGGAAGCCAAGTATAAATATGAGATTTTTTTTGTTTTGTATATACTTTATACACATAGCTTGAAGGTAATTTTATAAACAATATTTTGAATAATTTTGTGCATGAAACAAAGTGTCTGTAGATTGAACTATCACAAAGCAAAGGCATCATTATCTCAGCCACCCATTTGGACAATTTTGGGTTCTGGACTTTCAGATTCAGAATTCTGGAGAAGGAAGATTCAATTTGTACCACTAATAACAACAAAGTCCTTAGAAGAACAGCTTCCCACAATCGCATCACTGTGCCCCTTGACTGTATTGCTGATAGGTTAATTATTGTAATCTATAATATGTGGGTCTGCCTTTGGAACCCCTGGTTTTGAAAATAGCAGCCAAATAGTCTGCAGCTGGTGACTTCCATGTCAGTGAATCTGCTCTGGGTTTCAATCCCAGCTTTAAAGAAGTCATCCAAGCTGCTAGACCACATGCCCAGATAGGTTTAGCACCTTGAATAGCTCCTTTAAAATTTGAACTAAAACACAGAGTAGATTCATTGCCCCACTGCCCAGTAGCAACCACAAACTACTACTTGTATGAATATCTTACATGCTGGTTACTGAATTTGGACAGATGTGCAGTGAGGACAGGACCACTGAAAAACTAGAAAGAGGAATCAGCATGTTTCAGGGGAAACCCAAGGTCTGCATAAGTAGTGGAAAAATGCTAAGGGGACAGCCTCCCTTTCCCTTCAAAATGAAACATTCCAGCAAGGAATGATGGACATGTAGGATGCTGGTTGTGGAAAATACTGCTGAAGGATGTAAGGACTGAGACGACAATGGTGGCTGGTGTCTCCCAAGACAGTAGAGTGGTGAATCCATGCCAGGTTTTGCCTAGCTTTCAAGGAGCTATCCAAAGTTCTGAATCTATTTGGGATCTGGAACTCAGCACCTTGGATAACTTCCATGAAGGCTGTATTGAAATATGGAGTGGACTTAACACCCTGATATTAGAGCCAACAGCTACCACTGTGTTAGACAACACAGGTTAGAAAGGGAGTGGAATATGGAATGGTATTTCTTGAAAGAAGTCTTCATGAGTCAACAGTGTGATGAGGAAGCCAAAAAGGCCAATGCGATTCTAGGCTGCATCAAAGAAGTATAGTGTCTAGATCAAAGGAAGCAACAGTGCCACTGTATTCTGCTTTGCTCAGGTCCCACCTGGAATATTGTGTCCAGTTCTGGGCACCACAATTCAAAAAGGATGTTGAGAAACTGGAGCATGTCCAAAGGAGGGCGACTAAAATGGTGAAGAGTCTGGAAACCATTCCCTATGAGGAATTATTTAGGGAACTGGGTATGTTTAGCCTGGAGAAGAGATGGTTAAGAGG